TACTATTGATAATACTAGTACTAGTTGTCACCATTGAGGTTCTTACCAATGTCGAATTCTGGAAGCAAAAGGGATATTTACAAACGCATTCTTTTGTTCGAGTAGGTTTGCAAAAGTTTCAGAGACTTACTGTTGAGCGGATTGTGGACCCAGTTATCGTACCGTTAGTCTTCACAGATGTTTCAGTAATTCCACTTGTTATTGTTGTTATTTGAAACGACGTGCTCGACGGCGTTGTCACGGGCTATAGAGGAAGAAAACAGCGACTACTTAAAGTAATTTATAATGAGAAGAAAATGGCACGCGAATTCTATTATTCGATATCGTTGTATTAGTTTGCGGCTTGAGTTAACTGGCAGCTTCTCATCCCGGCCGTCGGTATTTGGAACTACCGCAGGCACCGCTATAGAACGATCACTACTATTCTCAAAAAACTTAATGCCCTTAGTGCAAAAGCGAAAAACGTGAAAATTACCCTTGTGCTGACGGTGGATCCAGTTGTCATGCTGCTAGTCCTCGCAGATGTTTGACTAGTTCCACTTATTATTCTTGTTATTTGAGACGATGTGCTCGCTGGCGTAGTCGCCGTACTATTGATAATACCAGTACTAGCTGTCACCATTGAGGTTATTGCCAATGTGAAGTTCTAGAAGCAAAAGCGACATGCACAAAGAAATTCTGTTGTTCGACATTGCTGCACCGATATGTGGTTGCCGCCGTCCCGGCGGTTGTGAGGCTGTCAGTCGCGGTTCTCATCTGCTGAAACCACTCCTATACAACGATCATTGATATTGTCGAAAAACTACCTACTCCTGCTAGTATCGCAGTACTAGCACAGACAACTGCGGTAATACAAAAGAGAAAAGAGCAGAAAAAACTCAGAAAATTACCGTTGCACTGATTGTGGATGCAGTTGTCGTACCGTTAGCCTTAACAGATGTGTGACTAGTTCCACTTGTTCTCTGAGACGATGTGCCTGAAGTCGTTTTCGCAGGCTATAGAGGAGGTAAACAGTGTTTACTCAAACTGTTTTTAAATGGGAATGAATTGCCGTTTACCGTACTATTGATAATACTAGAAGTAGCTGTGACCATTGAGGTTATTGCCAATGTAAAATTCTAGAAGCAAAAGGGGCGTTTACAAACGAATTCATTGGTCGAGTAGGTTTGGAAATGTTTCAGACAATTACCGTTGTGGTGATTGTGGATGAACTTATCGTACCGCTAGCCTTAACAGATGTTTCACTAGTTCCACTTGTTATTGTTCCTTTCTGAGACGATGTACTCGAATTCGTTGTCGCAGGCTATAGATAAGGTAAACGACGAATTAATCAAAACGAACGTGAGAAAATTACCCTGGTGCTCATCGTGGATCCAGTTGCCCCTTTGCTGGTCCTCACGGATGTTTGACCAGTTGTACTTGTTATTGTTGTTATTTGAGGTGATGTGCTCGACGGCGTTGTCACTGGCTATAGACGAGGAAAACAAAACACCGATTACTCAAAGTAATGTAGAATGAGAATAAGTAGCCCCTGAATTCTAGAAACAAAAGCGACATTTGTTCGATGTTTAGTGTATGCGCAACGACAAACAACATCATCGCGTTTATTACATGGATGCAACGAACTCTCTACACGTTGAATTCATATCAACCTACAAGCACAAAACTTCCAAAAAGGCTACAACTTAGTAAATAATCTGCACGTGGTCCACAACAATACCACGTACATAGTTGTATTGGAACAGGCGACACGTAAAACAAAAGGTAAGTAAGGAATCGAGTAGCTTTGGAGATGTGTCAGAGAATTACCATTGTGCTGATTGTAGAAGCGCTAGTCTGGAGAGATGTTTGACTAGTTCCACTTGGTATTGTTGTTCTCTTAGACGATGTACTCGACGGCGTTGTCACCGACTATAGACGAGGAAAACAAAACACCGATTGCTCCAAGTAATTTAAAATGAGAATTAATTGCCACTTACCGTAGTATTGAATGGTACATATATGGGAACATTTCCTGGTTCATCGGCATTGATTTTACAAAATCTTGGATATACTTTGGTGAAATCGACGGATGATTGCATACTTTGACATGAGTAATTACCAAATAATGTGCCATCTGTACAGGTTAAGTTCGATAATGGTGAGAATTTTGGTATAGGAAGTTGATTATACAGTTGCATTACTTGTAAAATATAATATTGGTCACAACTACAATTAAGTCTCATTGAAGTGCCAAAATTGATGCTGAACAAGGAAAGTGTTAACGGTATTGGCGTTTCTATACTTTGATTAATATACGATTGAGGTTCAATACAGGCATTATACATTTCATAGATGCCATCAGTTAAATTGATTTGTTGACGATTATTTGATAGGTCAATTCGTGCATTAATCGATGTCAATGTAGACAAGTCAGCATTGTACATATTTGTAATAGCACCTATCTGATTATAACTAAAATCAGCACTTGCTCGTACTAAGTTAAAGATCCATAAGCCTATTTCTGTCAGCTGATTATGACTAATATCTAACACTTGTAATTGTGCCATATTTTGAATTACTAAGTAGGGAAATACATTGATCATATTTGAACTTAAATCTAATGTTTGAACTTTTGTTACACATTGTAAATTATCGATGTTCTGTAAATTATTGTTCGACAAATTTAAAAACTAAAACAACAAACAAACAGAAGAAATTGATTGCAAGAACAAGTCTAAATTGATATGAAAGTAAAAAATGTTTCTCTAAAGAAAAGAGCAACAAATACTTATCGCAATAGAATGTGTTCCCTGTCGTCTTACCAACAAATTTGTAAACAAACATATATTAAATGGAACCAATGTCAAAGGACCACGTTGACCATTTGCACCTTGTACAGCAAGCGATGTTATTTGATTTAATATTGTCGTATTGTAATTTTGAATTGGCAGTTGCGTAATGTTATTAGAACATGTAATCACAAGTTGACTTCCATTATTATTCAATGCCATATTACAAGCTGATGCATTAGACAATGTTATTGTTGACCCGCTAACACTAGTTGTCAGCCTTGGGGTTGTTGCCGACGTCGAATTCTAGAAACAAAAGCGGTATTTATTCGATATTAAATGTATGAGCAGCGACAAACAACTTGAAAACTTGCGATAATTACCGTTGTGCTAATTGTGGATACCCGTGTTATCGTAGCGCTAGTCCTGACAGATGTTTGACTAGTTCTACTTGTTATTGTTGTTCTCTCAGACGATGTGCTCGACGGCGTTGTCACCAGCTATAGACGAGGAAAACAAAACAACGATTACTCAAAGTAATTTAAAATGAGAATAAATTGTCGCTTACCGTACTATTGATAATACTAGTACGAGCTGTCACCATTGAGGTTATTGCCAATGTAGAATTCTAGAAGCAAATGCGATGTTTACAAACGAATTCGCTGTATTAATATGCGGCTTGCGTTATCGCGCCCCTTCTCATCGAGTCAGTCACCGTTTTGATCTGCTGTAGCTACCACTATATCAGGATAACTCGTGTTTACGAAAAAATTAAGAAAATTTCGGGTTTCTCGCGCACTCAATTGGTAGGTATTTGGTTCGAGAAAGATGCCCTTTCTACTCTTGATAGTATCGCAGTACCAGCATAAGCAATTGTGATAATAGAAAATGACGAAAAACGTTCGTTCGATACTGTTGTATTAATACGGGGCTTGCGTCATCGCGCCCCTTCGCAGGGGCTGATTAGTCAGGGTAATTTAAAGTAAGAATAAATAGCCGCTTGAACTATAGAAAGTTTTCTTCAACAAACAATTTCTTGCATGGATATGTTACTATCGCAGTACTTGCGATAATACAAAAAGCAGAAAAACTTGATAACTTGAGAAAACTACCGTTGTGCTGATCGCGAATGCACTCATCATACTGCTATCCGGGTCCAAGGATTAGATAACAAGATCTTGGAAGATCTTACAAGATCATATACGATCTTGGGTGATCGTATAATAAGAAATCATAAGATTTCAAAAGATCTTATCAATTCTTATCAATTTTCTATAAGATCTTACAAGATTTCATATGACATCTTGTAGCAAGATTCTTATAAGATTTTTCTTATCATAGGAATATACAAGATCTTGTATGATCTGATAAGATCTTACACAAAGAAGGTATAAGAAATTATACGACTTTATAAGAAGTCACAAGATTTTATACGATCTTACAAGATCATACGCTTGATCATTTCTTGTCCAATCCTCTATACCTCTGCATTTTTCTTTTTCTAATATAATTTCTAACATTTGGCCCTAGGCGCCAAAGGACCGTCTTTTGCCACGTTTCTTAACCATGCACTTTGTATGTGCTCAACTGACGTGTGAAGTTCAAAAGAGAAAAGAGGTTGAAGCTTTCAAAGACAATGATGTTATATATATACTGTATTACGTCGCGAAATTTATATGGTAGAGATGAGTCATCGATCTTGTGAGATCTTGTAAGATCTTTTGACAAGAATTCATATCATCTTATATAGTCTTGTGACAAAAAAATATATAAAACTCAACAATGTCTGGTACAAGATTTTGTAAGATCTTACGAGATCATATGAATTCTTGTCATAAGGTCTTACAAGACCTTGTCACTTCTCATAATCAGACCTGGGGGATCTTATAAGAAGAAGTTACAAGAGTCCATAAGATCTTATAATAAGGTCTTGTATGATCATATCGTAAGACCTTATTACAAGATTTCACAAGAAAACATCAGATCTTGCAAGGTCTTACAAGACGTGTTTCACCTGGGTAGCATTCACAGATGTTTGAGTGGTTCCACTTGTTAGTGTGGGTCTCTGAGACGATAGGCCAGCAGGCGTCGTCGCTGGCTATACAGACGGTAAACAAAACAGGGATTACTCAAAGTAATTTAAAATGAGAATAAGTAGCCGCCGGAATTGTAGAACCAACAGCGACATTTGTTCGATATTTAGTGTATGCGCAACGACAAAGCCGGTCAACGCGTTTATTACAGAGATGCAATGACTTTTCTACAACGTTGAATTCAAATCAACCTACAAGCCCACAACTTCCAACAACAAGTAAATATTGCTGCACAACAATAGCGGCTACACTGTTGTATTGGAACAGGGGACACACAAAATAAAAGGTAAACCAAGTAAGGATTCGAGTAGCGTTGAAAATGTTTCAGAGAATTACCGTTGTGCTGATTGTGGAAGCAGTTATCGTAGCGCTAGTCTTGACAGATGTTTGACTAGTTTCGCTTGGTATTGTTCTTATTTGAGACGATGTGCTCGACGCCGTTGTCGTCGGCTATACAGGACGTAAAGAAAACACGGAT